ATTGTTATCCAGTTTATTTTTAGTTTTAATTTGCTGGGTCATCACTTTTATTTGAAAAATGCAGTTCCAGCAAAGCCAAAGAAAAGAATAATTTTGCTTATCTAATTTCCCACCAAAGAGCACAGATGTTTGACTTTCTTTCTAGACCTACATCTCCAAGGGACTTCTTGAGCACCAGAAAAACTGAGCTTCATACCGTGCTGTTTAATTTTTGGTGTTCTTGAGAGTAATACATTGTAGGAAACGTGGTTGCCAACCAAAGGAGCATATTTGATGTAAGTAAAATATAAATTTTAATGGGTGATTTCCTAGAGCTTTCCAAACACATGAACAGGTTATATCAATCCATGACATGTGAGGAATTTGGCTGAAATTCTATGCGATTCTTTGTATAAATGCTGTCCGGGATATTGTACTACATTTGTACTCCCATTCTGGGCTTCGACAGCTATATTCCATGAGAGGATCGCATGCATAGCATCGCCGCACCAGGCTGGAGGAAATCACGGCTACTGACCACGTAGATGACCAGGACGAAACACATCCTGGATAGGGATATAGGGAGGACACACAGTTTTGACACATTTCTTGGCTTCTACCGCGGGTTTACACATACAGAGACTGTTCGCTATTTTTTAGAAGCTTCTGCTTTGCTATAAAAAATACTATCTGCTTGGAATTTTTTTAAACTTCAACTACATATTTTTGAAAGTTTAAACTATCGCCTTATACTTGACAGTTTTGTTTTCATACAAAACGCATTACTTTAAAGAAGCAATGGATGGGAGGCTATGTTTGTGCTCTTTCGGAAGAAATATATTCTTATCTAGTTATTAAAAATGTCCACGAAAGCCGTGGTTTTTCGATTTCTAAAGCAACATTAGGTAATATTGTCAACAAGAAAGCAAAAAACGACGAACTTTGGCTTCAAAAATTGAAAAGAGGAAACATTTTTCCACATACCTATCGAATTAAAAAACGGAATGTTTCAAATGTTGCAAATTTACAATTTTTCATGTTAAAAGAAAATCCGCTTAGTCAAAAGACAGTTTCAAAATCCGTAAAATGCATAAAAAATCCTTTAATTAAAGACCTTGTCTCTTAAGACTGGCAACAGCTATCAGAATTGGTCAGTTTGCGTGATTGATAAGGTTTTTGTAACGTAAAGTAACGTAATATGACTAAAAAAGGAAAAGTATAAAATGCATAACGTTTCTAAGACTGAAAAATAAACCATTTTTAAATAAATTACGAATATTTAATAAATATAAAGTTTGTTAAAAAAGTGGCAAATAACGTTGATTTATTTTAAAATATACAAAAACTTCAAGCAACACATAACATTATTTGCTTAGAATAAAAAAATAATTAAATATTTATTTATAAAAATAAAAATATTCTGATTTATAAAAATAAAATATTTAGATACTTCTGCAACATCTATCATTTTTCACAATCTTTACTTCCAAAAAGCCGTTTTATGCAATACGTTCATATAAAAAAATATAATGTGGTGAATTTTATTACGAAGTTGAATATTGTTTCATACTATCGCTAATTTTCGTTAGGCGCCTGTAGGAAGGTTTTTCTGCTGTATAAGTATACTAGCAAAGAAAACATTCACACGAAGCAGTTTAAACTAAATATTGCGTAGTTTTCATGGAAATTTGAAATATAATTAATTTCATGCAAATTTGGTTGATTTCCTAGTTTAAAATTTTTAATTTAATTAAATATTTCTTCTTTAAATGTTAATTATTATTCAGTTTTATTTCATACTGTTGAACAGACGCCTATCAACATAGAATATGCGCCCTAATTTACGAGTATATTGTGATAAATTGATTTGATGTTATTTTCAGGGGGGAAATAAAGACTGATTTCTTTTCATATAGAGTATTTTATTGGTTCAAAAATCCGCAAAAATTTCAGAAATTTATAAAAAAACCAAACATTAAATATAAAGGAATGAAATTTGCACAAAGCTTAATGCAAGGAAAGAAGATTTCTAGTGGGGAACTTAATTCACATTTTAACTAATAGTTTAATCATTTTAACCACTGTAATATGTTGGTAATAATCATAAATATAGTAATACTGATATATGAAACATTTTAATTTCTCCAAGAATATGCTTTTGATTTTAAAAACGGTGTGTAGTATCAGCCAAGAGCGACTTTAATATGTGTTTAATTTTGCAGTTTTTTGCGTTTAGGAATCATTATTTTGTATTATTATTACGCATAAAACAATGGAATCTGGTTTTATTTTTTGATAGTTTCTTCCATGTTGAAATTTTGCGTCGTTTACAATTGTACCCATCTTAAAAAAAAAAATACCCGAGAGCTTTCAGATTCTATATTACGCCCAAAGGGGCATTTTTTTAACGATGTGTTACCTTTATTTATTAAATATCATGTTCTTCACACTTAAACCATAAAATTCAATTCAACATCAATATCATAAAATAATTTTAAAATATCATATCTTTAGAATTTCCAACACACCGTTGCGCGCTGGAGATATATTAATTGCCCCCCTTACAGTATTGCCGCTGCTTGTTTTAAAATCGTTCAGTTTGTTAATCAAAAGTTCGTTTAAAGTTTTTTAAAACATGAAAGAGGTAATAAAATAAATTCCAAATTCGGATTCCAAATGCCTATATTCGAGTGGAGGACTTCGTTATTAAAAATTTGATGTCTCTAGGTACCGTTGTTTTTTCACAATGCGAGAAATATACATACATTTATGCGAATTTTTTATTATTTAATTTCTTTAAATATAATGCTGTGCTCTAATATTTGGTGGCAACAATTTGAAAAGTGAAACGCCGTTTATAGTGAACCAAAGCAAAATATTAAAACGAAATTAATAATCTTTCTGGACAAATTGCCCCTTTGGGTTAAAAAATGGAATAACTTTTCATAATTATCAAATAACTTTTCATAAGTTTTTATTGATTAGGGTTTTACTAATGATAGTTTGAAATTGTGTGATAATTATTAATTATATTTTACATCATCCCCCTACTCTGAGTCTAATATTAAATATTATAAATATTATGCTGGATATATTAAATATTGCAAATGAATGCACACATGTACAATTAGTAAACTGAAATAATAAGGTTTTTCTTAATACTTGCTCCCCAATTTCAGCATTCGGTAGAACTGCCCTGTTTCATTATATTTTCGAGCATTCAATATCAAATTAAGAAGTAGTAGAATTAGTTTCCTTCTTACTTTTATAGTTTACATGCTAAAACAGCCAACTCCGCATGCGCGTACCATGTGTTTTGGTATACGTATATGGTATGCGTATGTGAATTTGTGTATTTTATATACAACTAAACAATAGCTACTGGCTGCAGAAGCATAAATATTGACTATATATTTTTAAATATTAATATTTAAAATTAAATATTGACTATATATTTTTATTTATTTATTTATTTGCATAAAATTTCTTTTCTCCTATAAAATATATCTTTTAGAAATACAAACTTCTACAAAATATGGCTTACTATTTATGAATAGAATAAAAATTATAAGACAAAAATGTAGCCAAACAAGCCTTTATCACCAATTTGTAAAGTCGACAATGAGTTGAAAACTTTTCGCGGGCGTGCGAATAATCAGAAAATGCCAGTAAAGGTCAATTATCTGAACTTTTCTGAAGCTGTAATTTTGCTTGAAATTATTTTATGTTTTAATAGACATGTATAGTGTATGGAATAACAGGACCCATATATTGGGATATTTTAAGTTTTCTTATACCGAATTAGTTAAATTATTAACATTGAATATCTTTTTCGTATTTCGGCAATTTTAATGGTGTGATATTTAAACTGGCCTTAAAAATATATTTATAATGTATTAATGTTCAGATGTTAAAGATCAGTGCATATTATGAATACAAATGTAATGACTACGATGATTGTCAATGTGGTTTTTTGCCACTTTCATGTCCGTTGCCAACTTTCTGGTTGGAATAAGGTTTTACTACACAGTGCGCGATCTATTATTATTACTATATCTATGGTAATAATTCAGAGTGGCTTTGAAACAATATATTCTAAATTTAAAAAACTCCAACTATACCGTAAACGAAACTGACAGGGTTTCTATCTGTAGAATGAGCTATCAATATCGCTTATAGTGTAATTTTGATCCTGATCGTTGCTGTCAAAATAGTACAGCGCCTTCTGTTGGGGAAAATTTAAATTAGTAGTCAACCTATCTACCCCCCCCAAAAAAAACTGAAAGCTTTCAGATTTTATATTTTTTCCAAAGGGCCTTTTTTTTTAACGTTTTGTGTGTTACCATTATTTATTAAATATCATGTTCTTCGCACTTAAACCATAAAATTAATTTTTTTCCGATTGGTTAGCTTTAACTTTCGATTTCCGAATTTGAAATTACTATTTGCTGAATTATTATGTAAGTATCTGCGTCGTTAGCGTTATGTAAGAGCCATAGGACGTGGATTAATTTTGAAACATCGGAGTTGAGAGCGATTTATTATGAGCAATTACTATTTTGAAAACAGAAAAGGGGAATTATCCAAATTAAAATAGAGTTAAGGAATTAATGCAAATTAAATTTAGTATGTCGATTTATATATTATTTTTCTAAAATTATCTGAATAATATTATAAATTAATATCTTAAGTTTAATTTGCGATTAAGTCTTTAATTATATAAATGATTAATTCGGGGAAATCTTTTTTATCGTTTGTAGAAAATTTAAGTAATGTTCGATCCGAATGTATTTATGCCGTCTGAGATACTGCTCCCTTTCAAAGGTGGTTGTCTATACTAATATGTCACCATTATACAATGGAGGTGCAATTTTTACGTAAGGCTCATTGCCGATATTTAGCAGAAACTAAATGTTCGCTGAATCTAAAAATTATTTTCAGAGGTCGTCGCAATCACTGTATTTAGTTTGCATTCACTTTTCACTTTCAATCTTTAACATAAAAATGTTTTTCTCTTCCAGCTTGTGACATGAATGTCCACAAGAAATGCCAGGTTAGTGTGCCTAACTTGTGCGGATGTGATCACACCGAGAGGAGGGGGAGAATCGAACTGCGAGTGGAAGCTACATCGAACAGACTTGTATGCGAAGGTAGGCGTGTGTTTTTTCACTATCTTTCTCGTATTAAAACGGCCAGCCAATTCTGTTTCTTTCTTTATCATTTAAGCTTTGGCCATTGTTTTATAGTAGCAGTAGTGTGTGGTGTTGCGTGGCCCCAACTTGCCCGCAACAATAGTAGTGACTGCTATGAACTGGAAAGTATACAAACTCTTAAGAAGGGTTTTTATTCCACTTTAGAAGTTACAGATGCATTCACTTGACGCTCACAAACTACGCCGACCCGGCGGTTAAATAAAAATAAGAAAGTACAACTAAAAATGAATAATAACAAGTCACTACCTACGAGGCTCTCTAAACGTAACTAACTTAACCGCGTTCTAAGATACAGCTGAGATTTCAGCAAACTTTCTGAATAAAAAGTTGAAAGATTCAACTAACTGCCGAAGCAAGCACACAGGCCGAAACGCGCGGTTCTTAAATTTCTACCTAGCAACCTTCACGCTCGTGAATCAAGAAAGCACACCTACAAACTCGTTTCCCTTCTATTTAACTCAAAAATACTTCTGCTGAAAATTTGAATACTTTGCGCGTTCTACTAAAATTTACATACTCTGGCATTGGCAATTCCAGAGGAAAGTAAAGGCTTGACAGGAAAGATAGCTTAAAATAAATGTTAGTTAAAATAAATATAAACCCTACAAGTTGTTTAAATATGTAATTTAAATTAAAAGGATTGCCACTCCCCAAATTAAAAGATTTTTATATTCCACACAGCAGTAATGTTTTGCTGTTCAGCAAAACATATATTTGTAAGACAACACTGCTGCGCAGAAGAGAAAATTACATTAATAAATACTGAATATTCGATCCGACTTCCAGGTGTAAAATGGAAAGTTATGCAATAGTTACACTAATAAACATTGAATATCTTATTCGACTTCCAAGAACAGAGGGTAAAATTATGCAGTAGTTACATTAATAAACGTTGAATACTTGTTGCGACACCCAGGAGTAAGATACGATTTCCAGGTGTAGAAGGAAAAGCTATTCCATAGTTACATTAATAAACACGAAGTATTTGATGCGACTTCGAGGAGTAGAAGAGAAAATTATGCAATAGTTACATTAATAAACACTGAATATTCAATCCTCTTCCAGGCGTAAAAGGGGATATACATTAATAAACTATATATATTTCGACTCCCAAGAGTGGAGGGACTGTCGAATATCTGATTCGACTTCCAAGAGGGGAAACTTATGCAATAGTTACATCAGTAAACATTGAATATTTGTTGCGATTCTCAGAAGTAAGATACGACTTCCAGCATTAAAATTGAAGTTTATTCAATTGTTGCATTAATAATCATTGAATATTTGATGCGGTTAGAAACACGTAGGAGTTTGTCCTGAAAAATTTGGAGTTTACTATAAATACCAATTGGAGGACGGAAGAGGATTTTGAGGCTCAGCTGTGGCATAAGACTACGCTTGATGTTAATTAAATAGTCATTAGTTTTATGATTTTATTATATAGATTATTTTGTTGTATCATCAATCTTTCGAAAGCTTCGTGATTTTTCCTTGAGTGATATGTGTGGAGTTCTTTTGTAAATAGACAGGAAAACGAATAATGATCAAAATCACCTCAGGTACCACAGACGCATGCACCTGTTCCAGTGATGTTATAGCCATTGAAGTAACTGGAGAATAGACCATTACCTGTAAGAACCGTTTCTTGTTTTTTTTTTTTTTTTTTTTTTTTTTTTTTTTTTTTTGTATCGACCGTCTATGGAAAAGTATAAATGCTATTCGTATTTAACACATGATGTAAAAAACAAATGGTTCCATTTCGAAAGGCAAACACTTATCTGCTACGCGATGTGTCACAAGATTTTATACGAACAAATTTTAAAATTTAAGATCTTGTTCTATAGTTATATGAATATCAAGAAACATAATTTAGAATCTATTTGATCAGTAATTTAAAATCAATTAGCGATCAAGATCTCATGCATCATTCGTAATAATCCTGTACAGATGTCTCAAAAAATAAGTACCTATTTTTGTGAAATCGAATACTTTTTAAAAAACTGAATTTAAAATTTGTTCCAGAAATAACTAAATATTGTGGTAGATTAAAAAAAAAATATGTTATGTTTAAAAAAAGATTTAGAAGAAATTGTGTTATTTTTGCATCTCAATTACACTTGTTATCATTAATTAAGGAAAAATCACAAAAATGACGATTACTCAAAAAGTTACGTTATCAGGACTATTGTTTCTTCTAATCTGTTTAGCGAACATGATGTGTCCTGACTAGACAGTGAGTTTGATTACAAACTATGTCCTACGGAGTGTAGCAAGGATGACAAGATGAGAAGGGTTTAATTACCCTTTATTTTCCACGATCTTACAGGCGCTCCCGCCACTTGTGGTCTGAACGAAAAAAATATAAGATCTACTGACTAACTAAAATTTAAATAAAAGCTAACTTTGAGTACTTTACACAAATGACTAGCACTAAGACTGGCCTTTTAAATTATTACGTATGTAGCACGCAAACTACGGAAAACTACAATGCGTCTTTAGCTTTCGAGAGGAATAAAACTTCTGGCCTTAAAGGCAGACAGCAACTGATGGCAAGCTCGCGTGAAGTGCAGTGGCAAGGTGGCTCACCTTTTTCTCCAACTAACTCTGCTCTTGGCAAAAAGCCACAGCTTAAATACTTAAGCGTTAGCAAGTACAATTTGCATAAACAAGTTAACGCGTATATTCTGACCGGAAGTGGAAAATAAGAGATGATAGTAAAAGTTCTTAAATAAAATAAACTTTAGTAAAACTTAAGATCTTTACAACGTGTAGAATTTAATGAAACTTACCCACAGTATACAACACATAGCAAGGTATAAAATAGCAGGAAAAGGAATTACCAGATAATTAGGGTGTTATAAAAATTAGCATATGTATAAAATTAACAAATTGCATGTGTCAGCTTGGTGATAATGTGATGCTGTCAATTTTGCGGTCTATCAGTTCCGGTGGAAAAGAGAGCCAATGCTCTCGCAAAACAGTTGCAAGCGTGGCAAGTGTCTGAAGAGGAAGATTGAAAGCAGCTCTGCGTTTTCCTGAAGCATCCGAAACATGCTCGATAGGATTCAGGTCCGGTGATCGATCTGGCAACTCCATGCGCTAAATTGTTTGATGCTGAAGCGAAGCATCCACACAGCGAGCCCTGTGGGCTCTAGCTTTCTCGATCTGCAGCAGGAAATCATCCCCTATTGCCCCGACAAAAGGGTGCACATAAGGATCAAAGATGTTATCTCTGTAGTCCTGAGCACTCACGGTTCCACGTGGGAAGACATGGAGGTCTGTGGGTCCACTCAAAGAGATATCAACCCAAACACAGACACTGCCTTCTGCGTATGCATCTCTTTCACTTATGTTTGATGGATGATAATTGATTACAGATTCTCTCCAAATCAAATAATGCCTTCTGTCGCTGTGGAGGCTAAACTGGACTCATCCGTAAAAGTGAATAACCCTCTACTGATCATCCATCTAGTGGATATGTTGACTTTCCCACCACAAACGTTCCCTTCTGTGACGTGCAGTGGGCGACACGCAAATGACTGGTCGCCTCGCGTACAGATCACCATCGTGAAGTCTGCTACGCATTGTTGATGTTGAAACCAACTTTCTGGTGGCTGCAGGAAGGGAGGATTTGAGTTGATTCGGAGTCTGCTACGCATTGTTGATGTTGAAACCAACTTTCTGGTGGCTGCAGGAAGGGAGGATTTGAGTTGATTCGGAGTTGCGGTTCTATTCCTTCGTGCATATAATAACAAATATCGGTCATCGTGCTACGTCGTCGCGGGTGACCGTCCTTAGCTGAAGCTCCTGAATGCCAAATTTGTGGTTAGAAGTTGTTTCCAAAGTTTGAACCACAGAAGGACTTGAATTTAGCCATCTGGCCACTTCTGTCTGACTTTGTCGTGTCTCTAGTTTCCCAATAGCTCTCCACTGCAGTTCTCTAGGCAGATGATGCCTGGAGTTCATTGTTACGAGCTGACTATACCAGATTTCTTATCTCAGTATCACAGCGAAATTTGCAAGTTTGGTCTCAACTATTCATTTTTATGCTCCTCGCAGATGACATATTCCGACTGCAGTGCCACTAATTTGAATACTACAGTTTTACTCACAATTCTCAGTTGACAACATATTCACATTTTATACATATTGGCTGATTTTTGAACGAATTGTCGCTACTTTTGTGATTTTTTCTTAATTTTTAGAAACCAATGTATTATTCTTACCTTAACATTTACGAATCAAATTCTTTAACTATTTTGAATCGCTTTGTCTATAGGTCTCTCTTATTAAAATTTTTCGAAACTTTTCGTTCGCTTCTTCCCACTTGACTCGTATAATACGTATATCACATCAAAGTATAGGTTATTTGAATATGGGAAAGCCATCAGGGCTATTTGCCTTCTAAAAAACTTCGTTATTTTCTGAAGGAAAATGGCTCGTAGCAGCTGATTTATCATACAACAGTTAAAAATATTTTTGAAAACAGCATTATTAGATTTGTAGCGGATGGTAAATATTTAAAAAATTGTTGAGGCTGCTTATAGAAAATAACCCTTCCTCATCCTTACCAATGAAATTTTTTCACAGTTTATTCACTATCAAATAATATACTTAATTTATACATGTAAATCACATGCAGTTTTATATGAAATGTCATCTTTATATCCTCGACAGTAAATGGGACTAGTATCGATAGCTTTAATTAAGTACTTCTGGCAATATCCATGATGTGTGCAATGTCTCTTGTTTCTATTGATGATGTCTTTTACAGCCTTCTACTATCTGTTTTCGATGCAGTTCTGTTTCTGTTGCCATGGGGACAATTGTCTTTATACATTTCTTCTTGTTTGTTTGGTATTAGTCGTAAGAGTTTAAATGCTTTTTTTTTTATCTTATTAAGTAATCTATTTATTGGTAGTACCTAAGCTTTCCTCATT